TCGTTAAATGTATAATTCATATTATGTAAACAGGGTGGGATTAAGGGTCGTCGATGTAAGGGGAGGAGCAGTACCAATTTGCCGCTTCTGGATATAATATATTCCGTGGTTTCCATTTATGACGGTTTTTTATACGCATAATATTAGTTTTAACTAATTTAAATCTTCTAAATAAACGAGGATACAATGCAGCAGATTCTGGAAAATTTAAACTAGCTTAAAGATGCACTAACCTTGACATAGTACCTATAGCGTTCTACATTTATTGTATAATTAAAAATAATGGTAAACCATTGCATTTGCAAAACAATTCTGAGTGAATCACAGCCATTACGCCTCGTACTCGATTATATTTAATCAACAGTTTTCGATTTACTTACAATTTTCTTTTACGTTGAACGAGCTAACCTAACCAAACATTTCCAATGATTAATTCAATGAGAAAATTCTACTATTCAAAGTACTATTTCCATTAGATTTTCAATCTTTGTGGTATTGCAGTTTCATAATGGGACATTCACACCAGCTTTACTTCCCATTAAAACATTTTTGTCAATTCGTTTTACATTATATAATTTATGGCACTGTCGTAATTCAAATATTTAACAAAAACCATCATTATTGTTCACGAATAAATAAATATTTTTCTTAAAATATTTAAAATTCAAAACATATATTTAATAAAAGTTTTTAGTTTATCGATAGAAAGTAACTTGTACAATATTCTACTTTCCAATTTACAAGTCCTTTAAGAATACAAAACTTATAGAAAAAAAAAAATCATTTCTCATTCGCATAATATTACCAAAATATAAAGTACAACTATAAAATACTTAATATTCAATAATTAAAAAAAAATGTTTATATTATTCTAGACGAGAATATTGATTCTAGACTACGATATATAATAATATATATATATATATTTTATGATAATAATTGTTTTTTCTAACGGATGATTCGTGCATTTATTATACCTTCGCAATTGGTCAGTAGTTTTTCTTCCACTTACATAAATTAAGGACAAAACTATAAAACAAGTCTTTCCAATAGCAATAACATACGTTTTTAATTTATAGGTTAAACCGATTTTTTGTTATTATTATTATTATTATTATTATTATATGAGTACAATTATTACGTTACCACTCATTAAACTCTAAAAACGTTCACTATTATATAACTTTATTAATTAAAGATATAATGTATCTGGATTATAATACATTTAATAGACTTATTTTTTAACTTTTATAACCACAAAAATATACACGAAGACTGAAAAATCGATACTCGTTGAAAAATTTACCTTGATTGACCAAATTAATTTTTAATACATTTCCCAACTAAATAAACCAGTTATTAATTTTGAAACTGAAATATGTATAATTAAGTGCTACAATTTCGTGGATTGTTTTTTTTTTCAATTTTGGGAAGTTTTTTATTTAACCTTTTTAAATATATTACTGAATATAAAAAAATCGTTAAATCGCATTTATAATTAGTGAAATATAATAATATAATATAATTTAATGTTTACATAACTGTATTAAACTATTGAATTTTAGCCGTTTGGACAGTTAAAATTACTTAAATAGCTGTTGAAAATGTTTCATAATTAAAAATGACGATGGTTTTATTTAGTTATGCTTGGAAAATTGAATAAAAAAATAAATAAAAAACATTCTTTTCTTCATTTAAATACTGAAATTTTATCAATGGTTTAAGATTTGATATGGTTAGCAAATAAAATTGTTTAATAATTTTAATACATAAATTGAAATATATTTAGCATAGGTTATATATTTAGCATTGTTTTATAAAAACATAACGTACACAAAAATTTAATAGAAATAGTTCTATGATAAAATTATGAATATAATAAAATATTTTATTTAGTTTCGTATACAATTAATTAATTCGAAATGTTTACACAAAATTTTCAAGTTTGTAATTGAACATAAGCTTAGTGATATTTAAAAAAATGATCGATTCTGTTAATTAATTAATATTTTATTTATTTAGACGAAAGCGAAAAATTGATAAACTAAAATAGTTCCTAATTTAATTAATATTACGTACAACGCAAAATAAACCTACACATTTGTTTCTATCGTAAATGTTTTGGGAAGAAACGTTGATACATCTAATGAAAATTATATCCTTTGAAAAATACTAAAATGCAGATAAATATAGCTTTTTAAAATATACATTTTATTGATTCATATTTTACAGACATTGTGCTGGTAAATTGTATTAAATTATACAGTTGTGTATGTACATTTTATTATATTAATAGCATGTACCTATAGCCTTGCGTGTTATACAAATGTAAAAAGATACGTTCAGTTGAGAGATATTGTAATAGATAGATTTTCTGATGCTGTTATCATTATGTTGCGTTATATCTTAAAACTTTATATATATTTTTTTAATTTATACTTAAAATCTTTAGTGTTTGTTCTAACGTTATAAATATTGCAATTAACACCGTAAAAACAAATGTTTTCTACGTATTCATTTATAAATACGAGTATATACATATGATATATGTATATTTTATGCATGCCAATATATTATAGATTTTATATTAAAAATAACTCCCTTACCACCAATAACAATAATAAAAAAAACTAAATTCAAAATAGATTTATTAATTTGAAATAAGAAAAATTACTTTCAAATAAAAATAGGTGATCAATTGTTTTCTAGGTGAATTACATAACACCGCATCCACATCCCATAGTCAATTGAAGTTAGATAAAAAAAAAATATAATTGACCGTTAAACATGACAATATACGATCAATTTAAAAACACAATTTGATGATGATTGGTATACCTAATCTTACACTAGCACAATTTGAGAACAAAAATGCGTAAAAATACGGCAATTAGCATTTTATCTATTATGTATATAATTATTATAATAGGTAGGCCATGTGTCGTTATATTAATAAATTTTTTCAGATAATTATGTTTTATAAAACATTTTATTTAACTTTAAAATATATATTGTTTCATAAAAGCATTTGATGGTATTTTATTTTTATTGTCACCACGTATAATATTTCGCCACCTACGTTTTATATCTCTGACCTAATAATCATATAAAAGATAATTCAAAACCTATAAGTTAGCAGGTACTAAAAGAAACGGCTTTCATGATATTAACAGCTGGCTGTTACGTGTTACGTAATTTTATTTTGAAACATAAAAATGAGGTTTATTAGTTACTATGATGCGTTTTAATAATAATTAAATAATCTACACCACCCTCTCTTTTGTATTGTGTGTTAGTACCATCCAAAAATACATTAAACCTCGTTATATGAATTGTACCGTGCAGAAATGGCTAATTAATTCTAGAAAATTACATGTTATTTATTATTATTGTATTTAACATCTAAATTTGTTTACCCGAGAGTATACATTTTGTATTATATTACGGAATATATACTATTTGTATATGTGCATTATGTCATTAAATTAACTTAATGTAAATTATAAAATATAAATATAAACTATATTTATTTTAATGCACCATATAATGTACGTATGTATATGTAAATATATATATATATATTATGATAAAATTAGTTAACCTTAAGACTAATAAAGATATTTTTTGAATATAAAATTTACTCAATTTAATAAACGATTTAACACAAAATTTAAATATTAGTTTCAGTTATTAACTAGGTATTAATATATACAGCATATTAAATCAAGGTTAAGTTAATATAAAACATAAATTTGTTTTCAGTTAGTATTTGTTGTGGATGCATAAAAACATATTTTAATTCTGTAAAAATTATATTAAATCTAGATTTAGTATAATAAAAATAGTAATAATTTGATCTTTTGATAAAATATTAATCGTTAATTTTTTTTTTTTTATTATTATTTTGTTGGAATTTCCATTTAACTTATATTTTTGAATTTTGGTATTTAACCGAGCTAACCTTTTCTTTCTTATTTTTCGCAACTTTATTATATTACGTACATACCTCTAATACCTGGTGACCACGAGTGAAAGAGGGAAAAATGCCACCCATGAAAAGAAACTACCTGTAATTATTACTAGGTCAATTGTTTTGTGTCCAAGAGAATTGGGTCAAATTATACGGTGCACGCACGCTAGAATTTTTTATTTTATCCCCACAATATAAAATATACAATATTTGTATACGCTCACATAAATACGCTTGTGACCATTATATATATATATATATATAATGTATATATAAATGGTCGAAGTCATAGAGGAGCTCTCGAGACTTCTTATAGTTTGCGTTTTTATTCTCGAACGTAATTATTTTTCGGCTCGTGCGACAGATGCAAGCCCATCGCTTTTCACAATGACGCGCGTTCACTCGCTAGAGAAACGCGATTATTATGTATTTTCGACGACTGACCAGTTGACTGCAGCACTGTGTACACGGAACAACAACAGCGGAATTATCATGCCGAGATGAGAAGGATGCCGAGAGGCGTGGAAATCACAAATTACTGGACGGTAGTACGCATAATACAACGTAATATCGTGTAAATCAAATTCATCAAAAAACTGTTCACAACCAATAATAATATATTAATGTATTATGATGATACACGCAAATAATAATATATCATAATTCGGTGTAAATACGTCGAAGAACGTGACATGATTGTATGTGTGTGTGAGTGTGTAATGCGTTTATTGTAAAAAAAAAAAAAATAAAAATAACGATAACGACGACGGTTATAATAATAATAATAATAATAATAATAATAATATATAAAAGCCGGCGGTTCGAGGATGGCGAGCTTTTGGTGGACGGGAGAACGGAAACGGAGGGGACGGGAGGAATAATAGTTTTTCATCGGAATTCGTTTTCGGGTGCGCGCGCTTGCGGCGCCCGTGGCGCGGCTTTGCGGCGCTTTCGGCGAAATCGACGGAGATCCGATCGCGCGTACTACAGTCGGCGGCGATGGCAACCGTTTAGTACGTTCAATCGGCTCGCCCGGCCGAGTCCTGCGCCGCCAGCCGCCACCGCCTCTCGTCCGAACATCCGACTCCGACCGCTGATGCCGCCGCCACCCGCGCGCCGAGTAGACGCTACACGCCACCGACTGCGCTCGTACCCTGTTCACCCCCACGACCGACTATACCCGCCACTCCGACCGACTTGCCCGCTGCCTGGGTCCGTGCCTCGTGTCCTCGCCGCCGCCAAGCAACGCCGGGAGCACCGACGCCGCCACCGCTGCGCCACCACACGGCAATGATCGCGCCGTCTGGAACTATGCGCCAGGTAAACGCGGTACACCGGACAACAACGGTGGCGAATATCAATTATTATTATACTGTTGTTATCGTTGTTGCCGTAACGTCGATACGTCACTATCGTATCGACGCGGTCGTCTGTCTGCGGTGTGCGTTGTACGCAATAGCCCAGACGCGAACGCGCGTCGAAGGTTTTTTCGCGATCTACGACGACCGCGTCGTTCGATAAACCCGCACGGTGACGATCAAACGTATGTCGCGGGCTCTCTCTCTCTCTCTCTCTCTCTCTTTCTCCCGTCGCTCGACACGATATCATTGCTGTTGCCGCGTCCGTCGCGTTAATCGCGTCCCCCGCTGGACTGTCGGACAGCCGCGAAAAGCGATGCGTTTAAGAGTCATGCCCGCGTCTGGGAAAGGTCCGCGATCGTTTTTTCGCGTTGCAACGAATTGTGTCGCCCGTGATGCGATTTATGTCGATAGCCGACCACATATGTAAATATTACGCGATATCCGATGCGACTGACCGCGGTGTACAGACGATTTCGTTTGCAAAAACATTATGATAACGTAGTTGATATTGCGTTATCTGTACGTCGTCGACGGCGGCGTCCGAAACGCGTCGTGTGTTACGGCTCGGCGCCATTCGGTTTTAGCCAAGCGTCCGTGTACCGAAATTGCCTATTTGGAGTGCCGCGTCACCGAGGCCTTTTGTATATTAAATTTTTTTTTTTTTTGCTTCTTGTCATTCCGTAGACACGCGTTTTTCAAACACGCGTACACCCTACCGACAATATCTTCGTGATAATATTATTTATTTTACTCGATCAACGCGAACGTTATTCACACAAGACACGTGTCTCTAGGTCGTAACTACGGAATAGAGATATAAATAACACACCGTGATGACTGTGTAAATTTTTAATTATTTTTTTTCCAATTACATTTACCCACTCTTGTTTAAAACTGTACTCTACATAATTTTTATAATTGTATTCTATAGACTCCGTTGTAATACATTTTTTGGAAATGACCCATCGTGACTAAAATTTGTATCAAAGGTTTCAAAAAATCACAAAAGAAGAAACGAAACAATATTTAAGTATTATTATAATAGTTGACAACGAAATGACGAATTAAATTATCGTAATGTTCGATTCGAGTTTTATTATATTATTTTTTGCTTTAAATTTACGTACTTTATACAAAAAGGCTTGTAATCCACTGTAATATTGTATTGTTAACAGTTAAAAAATGTAAAAAAAAAAAAAAAATCATAAAAGTAAAGTCAATAATACATCATCACATGTTTTGCAAATCGTGTTTTTTTTGTGTGCAAAAATTATGAGTTTGTTACGCACGACGTATTTTTAATAAATAAGAATACTCAAACTCTTCTACATATATATTATAACTTATTATACGTTTGTTATAATATTTGGCAACTGACTTTTTCAATGTTTTTGTTTGTACATGAAAGACTATGTATATCATGAACCATAATAATTATTAGAAAGCATCGAAAATCGAATGGATATCATATATTTTAAAATATTCTTTTATATCAAAACAAATGATGCCTGAAATTCCTTTTATTAGTGAACCCCCACAAATCATAATATTTGAATTATGTTTTTTAATGAATGGAAATAATGGCTAGTATATTTAAATTTATTCAGGAAACAAATTCAAAATATATATGTTTTTGTGTAGTGGATCAATGCGATTATTGGTACGAAAATTAACTGTACTTAAAATATTTTGTAGAGAAATATGGAGTCATAAAACAAAATGTAAATACTAAATACATATTAACACACAGTTATTTTAACGATACATAAATAATAATGAATTACCAACAAAATATTTTCTAGAATTTATGGTAACAATTGTTGACTGAAGGTTATATTTCAAAAATACTTTCATCTGCTTGTAAATTGTATTTCAACCACGAATATTTAATGTTAAAACAAATTTTATCTTGTTACACTTTTGGTTTGAATAAAAATAATTTATTTATAAATACTATAATAACTATAAACAAAAGTTATATGAATTCAAATGCTTTCAAATTATAGGAAAAAGTGTATTTAATAAACTATTTTTTAATTTATACCAGTATAATTTACTATTTCACTTAAGATATACATAATATGAAACAAAAGACATACTGAGTTGGTTAATTTTTGACATTGAGTACTAAGGATTACAAACTACCATATCATACATCAGTATTCAATATAGACATTGTAATAATGATTTTATAATGTATTTAATATCATGCGTGTAGTTATAATTTAAATTGTAATAAAATTCATTTTTATTTAGTCTAACATTAACAAACATAATAATACGTATATAATACATGAAATGGAAATATTATATTATCATTATTAATGAAATTTTATTTTTTTTATTAGATACGTATTAAATCTAACCAGTTGTAGATAATATTTCTTTCCTTTGTTGCTTTCTTGTTAAAAAAATAAATAAAAAAAAAATATTTAAAAAAAAATCACAAGATAAATAATTGATTCACAATCATAAAAAATACCGTCCAAACTTTTTTTTTTTTCATAATATAATTACAATAATATATTAAGTTTTAAAATTATGCTGTAATTAATAAATCAACTAGCAAAAATATTTTCCGAGCATTTTACATACTTACTTAGTTAAATAATTATAATCACAATCTATGACGATGATGTTGAATTTATAAGTATGTCATAACATATTTTCAACATGTGAATATATTTACAATAATAATTTTTTAATGATGTTGAACATTGAACTTCCTGAAGTATTCATTATTGCTAAATGTAAGTTATTCATTCTACTTCTGTACTATAACAATAAATTATTAATACGACGAATTGTTTGTTTTTGTGTTTCCCCAAACAATATTACATTTTTCTTGTACCCAAACTAACATAAACAATACGTAAATATAACAATTCATATATCATATTGATGTTATGCTGCTTATATTCAACAATTATTTTATATTTAGTACAATTTATAATAACGAAACTCAAAAGCATATTATTTTGTTTTTAATAAATTATTTTCCAAATTACTCCAATTTAATTACAAGCTTTATGAATTACAATAATATGTTGACAGACAACGATAATAATATTTAGTTAAAAATATATCGTCAAAAACCATAATTTATTTTTTAATAATATAAACTCATACAAAACTCTTCCTGGAAACCCTATACGTCGTTTGAAATGAAAATGATGTAGATACTTACTCAAATAAATTCCCAATAAAATAATTCATGTTGGGTTCTATAAATGGATAGTCTTCCTCCTCATATTAATCACATATCACCTGTAAATTATCATCAAATAGACTTGTTGTGCTCCACTAGCATAGATTGTTTATTTTCAAATAAAACAAATAAAATAAAATAAAATAATATAAATACTTACCCTCTTTCCCAAAAAAATGTTTTAACAATAATAGATAATTCGAGTACCTTATTTATTAATTGTAACATGAATGCTAAACCTAACACAATAAAAACGTTAAAACATTGTTTACATTAGTATTAATACTATTGAAATTAATATAAATATTACATGATAATATTATTACTATACAGTTGGTTTATTGTAGTACTTAACTTACCAATCAATATTTTGAATAAAAATTATTAAGTAATGCACTACAGTTATTACATGTCTTATCCTTTGAGTTGAGGAAAATTACTTCACCCGTTGAATTAAGTATTCGTTTTTTTATAAAAATATTGACATTCACGTAGAATGAACTCCATGAAAAGCTTTCAAATGCAACTATAGTACTTAAATTTAAATTTAATCATAAAGCTGGTTATTAATCAGTGTTTTTATTTGCATAAATTAAACAAGCAACTGTATGTTAGTTAGACTTTCTTAATCTATAGAATTATAATGAAGTGTATGTAATAATATTATTAATATTATTTTCTTTTAAATATATATAATATATATATATATATGTGGTGTAAGAAAAACAGATTTTTTTTTTTTTTTTGATATACAATTTATGCTGAAAAGTAATAATTAAAATATATAGCAGAGTAGTTAAATGTAATGAAAAATAAGAATTTCTTTTCATAAAATAGAAAGATATTTTATTTATAATAAAAGTTAATAAGGTTTTTTATGAAAAATTAAAACTGTTTTAAAAAAATAATAAATTATAAAATATTCAATTTGCATAGTTTTAGATAAAATTTAAGTTGTTTGGTTAGGTATTTTAATTAAAATTAAACATACCTATTTAAAGTCTTATATTCCTACACATTTAAAAAAAAAAAAAAAAACTGCAATTTTATTTTATCATGATTCACGTATATCTAAGTAATTCTTATATGAATGATCATGAAAAGATTCTAAGTATCTATTTAAAATTTCATTTTGAAAACATTATCTTAGTAACGCAATAAACAATCTGAATATTTTTTTTTAGTTTTTAATATTATATAACACGCATTATAGTAGTATAATACAGTATAATGAATATCTTTTTTATTCGGTAAATTAAAAATTTAAATTCTATTTTTTGAATTCATATTTATCATTATTTTTATTATCTTTTAAAAACCATTAATTAATTTAAATAGTTGAACAAATTGACTACCGTATTTAATCCATGACTACTTCTCAACAAACAATACAATATTACAAGATAAATACCTAAAATACATAAATCCATAATTGCTTGTAAATAGCTAAAATTAGTATGATAAACTAAATATTCTATTTCATTATGTAATTATTTTTTTATAAATAATAAGTTTTTAAAAACTGTTTATTAAAATAATATACAATTAAAATATTTTTTTAATTATTTATTTAAAAGATATATAAAAAGTTATTAAAGATAAATTACTCGTAGTATTAATTAATAAATAAGTATTTATTATGTATTTCATCAAATAGTATGTATACAATGACGCATAAGTTAAATAAAAATTAACCGTTAAACGTTACAATCTAAAAATATTAATTTAAACATTAGTATTATTGAGTTAACTAATAGCTCTGATTTTTTTTTATGTGCATAATGTATTCAACAACGAAATCAGTTATTATTATTTTATGCTAAAATTATGTATTAAAGTAAACATAATTAAAAGGCTAAATAAAGACAAAAATGTCATACAAGTATAAAAAATAATCCATTGAAATACTAGCTAGTAACTAGATCATTTTAAATTAATTATATCATCATGGGTTTTAAAATAAATTTTTCATTTGAATAATTTATATACTTGAAACATATTTCAATACAATAAATAGACTGCATCGTTTTGTTTATTTTTATTTTTACTAACAACTCACAACATAACTATTAGCTCATTTATACAAAAACTTGGTATAAATTAATAAATTGATAGTGAATTATCAGCATAATCATACTTTTTCGTGTACGAATTACAGATGTGTAAATCGTAATGCGAAGATGGTGTGTTCCGAATGTCCAATGGTCCCAGTTGGTATTGTGCGTGACTGTGCTGTTTCTGCTGGGCGGCCTGCACATTTACAGAGGCCCCAACGGCGGGGCGCTGCAGACTTTGGACGAAGTGGTCGACGACGAGGATATGTCTGGTTCCACCCGAACGACTCAGGACGATCGAGCGTACCGGAGACTCAGGTTTCCGAAGACCAGCAGACGATTGCCTCAGGTGGGTAAAAAAAAAATAGATACGAAAAAACAACAAATATACAATATAATACGTATATACTATAAACCTGGGTAACTGTTCAGTAAAAAGTAATGATCAGTTCTATTTAACATTGTTATAATTGTAACTAGTTTTAAGCTTTTCAAAACGTAAAAAAAATGTTTGACTGTTGCGTTGATACGTTAATATACACGTGTGTATCTGTATAATTTATTGATATGATGTTATATTGAAATAAAACTTGAACATGGATACATTAACTGATTGGTTACGCAACATATTATTTTTCACAATCTGTCTGATTATTTTTTTTTTACATCAAATTATATATTGGGTTTAATCACTTAAAAATGTTGATCGTAAGTTATGAATGAAATTCAAATTTCAATAGACCATTTTATACGGCATCATAAAATAAACAAAATAAGTCCTTTAAATATTGATTAATTGATATAAATGACCATCCAGAATGTCAGCATGTATTTTTTTTAAATATTAAATAATATATATACCTATATTTAAAAGATATTTTTAAAAAAAAATATTGAATGGCATAAACTCATAACATGTTAATTATAATACAATTGTGGTCGCTATTTAGTTGATTTAGAAATTGTACTATTTATTAATATTATATTAAACTCAGTCACAAAACTATTATTTTTTTTTTTAGATAGATAAATTTGAACTGTTCTGGTTTACGGTTATTTTGTATTAATATTTTTTAATTCATGAGTAAACCAATAATTAGAGACTTCCTACATTTATATAATCATTTTTTATTTTTTTTTTTTTTAATTAACCGTAGTTTATTTTATACACACATTGTAATTTTAAAAACTTTAGATTAATTTTATACTATTACCTATTTTCTACGTTAAATTAGTATTGACTCAACCGTATTTTTTTTTTTCATTTAATTTTCAACAAGTAGTTATTATATCCTGACAAGTATAGCTCAAGCGTAAACCTAAATAAATATACAGTTAATATAATATTAGTGAAAAATAATAAGATTGAGATAGTAGTGAAACAAATGTTTAAATAAGTATAGATTGGTGACCTATTAAAATATGTAGATAATAGATATCGTGCTAATTAAATTAATAAGGTAGAGATAAATGTATACTAAGGAATAAGTTGTTTATGTAATATAGCTATAAGGAGGGAAATTAAGGAATTTGTTCATGCGAAAAGCTCTAAGATAATTTGGAAAGTGTTTTATCATTAATGAATCTATAAGGTAATAGGATATTATTAGAATCGGCAATGGTGCCGTAAGAAACTTTAGGTAGGAAAAGTGGTGATTTGAGAAAAGGAGGCGTGAGTACAATATTCAGATTTTGGTGATTTTAATGAGATGTTAAGCGACATTTGAGAAGAGCTGTATACTTTGAAAATCCTTTGTAGTTAGAAGTATGATCACTCGCGCACTTGGCTAGGCTACTTTTGTCTTTGGTACAAATATCTAAGAAGTAATCTCCCCTGTTTAACAAAACGTGAAGCATAGTGACAATATTAATTAGTGATGTGTTCGTAAGTTTGTCAATTTTGGCACTGAGTAGACCATTCTTAATTCTATGAAGTAATTTAGCTTTAGTTTTGGTTTCAACGTTGATTGTAATGTTGTTATGCACATAAAAATATTAGATGCTAAGATGAATTTAAACGGTACATGATATAGGTGTAAAACAAGTGGATATAAATCATATTTAATCAAGAAACTTCTAGCAAAATCAAAAGGGATAAATCGTGAGGTGAATGACCACCGTACCGTCGAAAGTGAACAACGCCAGGCGATTATGCGTGACATTGGGGATTTTTCAAACGCAACAGCGATCGCCGACAATAACAACCACCGTCGACATCAAAGTCCAGCGACAGGCTTTTTCGATATATCAGAATCTACCCGTGTAAAATTAGATTTTCTTCAGTGTTGTTGGGTACCTTCGTACGGCATTGGATTTTCAAAGCGATACCGGGCGCCGCTGCGTTATTGATGTATTAAGAGAAATCGTCTCAATAAATAAGGATAGTTTGTAAAGCCAAATAGTACATACGTAGATCCACAAGAACCATCGGCTAGTTTAATGAACGCAACAGAACAAAATTACAGTCTACTCAGAATAAAGAGCTCGCTGTAAGAACAGATCATACCATGATACTATTCACTCAGCTGATACCATAATAGCATCGACTTAAAAATTCATAAAATTTAGTAGAGGTTATGCGATGTTTTGTTAAAATACATAATATGCTGTTTGTTTTTGTCAAAAAGAAGTTCAATTAGTCACTTTATACCACTAATGACTACATAAATTTAAAGCAAAAGTCTTCGAAATAAATGTTGACCATCGCCGCATATAATTCTATACAATAGTTTATCATTGAATTAAAATTGAATAGATCCGTCACATGAGCTTACTCAATGAAAGGTATACTATAGACTCAATAGCTACAAATATACTGCAGAATAACTTCACGGGGTTATTTATACGCAAGTCCAGGTGTATATTGTTTATGGTTGCGATCCCCGATCCCACAAGCTTAAAATTTCTTATACAAAAACGGATAAACAATAAATACGTTAATAAGATATGAATATTTTTTTAGTCAATGTGTGTGCATATATTTAAATGATACAATATGTATGAGGGTTATACGATAATATTATACAGCTCATTCTGTATAAATCGGATATACACGGAGAGTGAACTTTTTACCGGTCCCGCCAACAAACTGCATTATGTTTTGATGTACGTGTGGAGAATATAATAATAATACGCTTATGTATTGAATAAAGTGGAATCTTATCCGACACGAGAACGAAATGAATTATCATGTTGGAAACTATTATATTTATATTACGTACACTCCATATGGATATGATATCATAAAGTACCTGCTGCTGTGTAAAGAACAAAAAAAGTTTAAATTTTAAAGTCTATTTAACCTGGGTAAATAGGAAAAAATTTAACCAGGTTTCGAACTGAAAAACCGAAAAAACTATAAACTCATTTATGGCCGAAAACTATTTAATATAATTTAATTATATAGTCTATCTGAGCAGAATGTAATAATTTATCCCTGATTGTATTCATTGATATTTTTTATTCAAATAATAAAATCAATATTAAATCGATTCTTGATTATTTATCAAAATAATTTTGTTTTTACCCTATATTGCCTCATTTTTTCTTTTAAAACTCAAAAATTATACACGAATGTCCGTGTAATATTTACTATATATTTAAAAGATATATCCTGATAAAAATTTTTTTTGATTTAAATAGAAAATATAATAAGTAATTGATAGCTGTAGTAGGTAAATTTTCGTTAACTGTTAATTATTCAATGTTATTACTCAATACTTGATTTCCTGATTTCTATAACTACATATATAAATTAGAAATTGATCAAACTGAGTAGGTACTATTTTATTATTAAAGTCCTATCGAATAAAATATTATGATAAATCATAGACCCTATTTTTAATATTCATTCGTAAAACCGCATAAAACATTTTTCTTACTTTGACCCACGTTTATGGAATTCGGAGACTTATATTTTAGTTTTAACTTTTAAAGCTTCATCATAAAATATTTACTATGACTAGAACAGAATGAATTTTATTTACACAATGAGAAACATTATTCTTGCAAACTACGATATTTCATTGACGTCTGTTGTTTTTCGAATATTAAGTTAAAACAGAGTTTTTTTTTTTTTTGTTATCAAAAAATAAATTAAAATATTTGCTTGTTAATTAGTCAAGATAAAATGTAAGGTATGGTAAACGGTCTATCTAATTTGTTTGTTATGGTAGGTAGATATTACTTTATTTGAGTAAAATATTATGTATGTATATATATATATATATTATAAAAGTCTCTACATTAACTTATTTTTCTTTGTTTAAATAAAAAAAAAAAACTTTGCCAACATTAATAACTATAATGTCTTTGTTTACCAATGTTCTATAGTCTATAGAACGATAAACTTTGTAATTATAGTTTTATAATTTATTGAATCCAACTTAAAGACATGAACTGTTTCAATATGATATCATAAAGTGTAGTGTAACGATTCATTATTGATATTGGAGAAAAATAAGACATAACTTTTATTAGCATTAAATTATCAAATTTTATATAATAATGACAAAAAATAATAATCGATTTAAATATTTACAGATATGTTTTGTAATATTTTAATTTTCATTAACTGGTAAGGAAATATTTCCCAAACTATTCCACTACAACCTTAGTTTTACAATTTCAGTCTCTCTATAAAATCCATAATGTCTTTCTTCCATCACTAATCTGGCTAGTGACTACCCTCTCATTTCTTTAATGCTCATTGAGTGTTCTTACTTTTTGCGCATTCCTCAAAAGTTTTGAGATTTTTACACTATCCATTTATTCTTTAACTATCCCAAATTATCACCATAACGTGGCCATTTATAGTCGTTTTTTAAATTATCCAATAACATACGAGTATATCTGCCTACCCTTCAATATCCAAAATATATTTACATCTTAAAGAAAATTATATTATATTTTTCATATAAGTATTATATTTTAATCTTATAGAATATTTATTTTAATTTTGTTTTTTTTATGTAAATTTACATTTTTTAAATTAATTTTAGTACCTATAGTTAATCAATATTTTTAATTGTCAAAACTTATAGCTTAACAACTAATAAATTTAAAAATAATAAATATTTAAGTGTTAACTATTTTCTATAATTCATCAATTCTTGATAATATTATTTTCACACAAAAAGTTTATTAACATAATATACCTAATAATATATATATATAACAATAATAATTGTTTTCTGTATTTCATACTCTTAAAATATTTACTTTTGTTTTGATGGCATACAAAATAAATAAAGTAGCTTGGCGTAGCGCGTTGGCTACTACCAGTCGTGGAATGTGACTGAGAGTAACGGCCACAGCTACACTAGCTCCCAGATGGGTGACCACCCAAGATCGTAGTGGTTAAAAACCTTGCCACACATACAAATCGTAAATGTATATAATGTATAATGTATACTAGCCACCTAATTATTTTGTGCAAATAAAAATAAATATTGCGAACTTTACTTTTTTAAATTTTTTTTATTCTTAGTTATATGTGTAAATATTATTTATTTTTATTTAAAAAAACCCATCGGGTATCATTATTCAAAGGTATTCTAGGTCTTCTAATATGTAAATCATCTTGTAAAATCAAATCATATACATTTTAAAATTATTGAGTTTTTAATAGTGATATTTTTTTTTTAAATTATGTATATTTTTGTCTTACACACCGTCACTACTTCGTTGCAACAAAATATCTTCATAAGCAGGTGAAACTGTTTTTTTTTTTTATTATTATTTTAAATGGTTTTATTTTTTATTTTTCTATTTGTGTACATATTTAAAAAAAAAAATTTAAACAAAAAGTACTTGCCACTGACGCAATCATACAAATTTAAATAATATACTTTTGTATATTTATAAAATCTAAAACGAATGAATTTTTAATGTTCAAGTTTTCTCAATAAAATACCACTATAACATTATAGTATATTAAATTATGTACTTATGTCATATTATATTAATGAGTTTTTACATACTCATTATTTTAAAACTGGTACAACAATCTACATTTTATTTAAAAATTTCTGTTTAAAATATATGTATTAGTTTATTACTATCTTATGATGCACTACATTAGTTAATAATATAGATCATAAGTGGTGTACAATATACTCAACGTTTTAATATAATAATATAGCATGGTTTATTTCTAACGTGTAGCTATATTTTTTGGTGACTTACGAAACTTCTCAATGTCATATTCGAGGTATATTTAATATATAATAAAAGACATCTACTATTAATTGTTAGTGAATGACTTGAAGTATAAATTAATGGTTTTTAATTTTTTTTTTTTTTTTTTTTAAATTTTTGAACCATATTAATTAACTATTATTATAATAAACTATGTATATAATCGTAATAATAACTAATAATAATATAAAACATACGGTAAAACCACTGCTATAAAATGTCAACTTTTAAGTATAGATGAAATGTTAAGTATGAATAACATTTTAATAATCAGACGATTATTAAATCGATTTATTTGAGCGTTGAATGTTTATGTATGGTTGTATGAATAGCTATTATATCCGTATTGATTAATATTTAGTTTAAATATCTATCACGGTTCAAAAGTGAAAAAAAAAAACAAAAGTTTATTACATTACGAAATGGAGGCGTTGATACGATATTTCTTCGAAGGGAGTTAATTCACATTTAATTTATCTCATAGATGGGTATTTGAAAATAAATACTTATATCTTAAAATAATTTGTTAATATCATTAACAAACGATCAAAAAAATATTGACCGTTAATTGTATTATTATTTTTGGGAGTAACTGCATTTTCCTACATCGTTTTGTTTTGTTGTTTTTAATCAAAATAAAAAAAAAAAAAATAAAAAAACGGTAATTTTTTAGCTTTAGTAACGCATTACTAGTAAATTATATTTCATGCTTTCAAATATGTTTTATTTTTTCATAATTATATAATTTAATAATGTATAAAATATACATAATTAATAATTAGTGTCATAAATAAATGATATTGCAGATTCTACATTGTATTTATTAAGTATTCACTTGTGTTAACAATAATTCAGATAATTAGAATGAAAATAAGTTTAAAAAAATATCCTAATCTTTTTGTGTAATACAAAAAATTATCTGAGGATACTTTAGTGGTCTGAAGATACATTCATGAATTCATGATAATATCAGTAATTCTATATACTAAATTGTGTCCAAAAACATTAAAAACAATAATATGCGTTGTGTTTTTTAAAAATGTTAAAACTTGCAAAACAAAAATTGAAATTGTTGTTTTTTATACAAAACAATGCAATAAGTATAAAATATTGCCCATTTAATCGTTGTGTTTGGACTCAGATATATATTTTAGTTTTTTTAATTAGTTTAATTAGTTGAGTAATACAAATGTAAATACACAAAATTTAATATCAATATCTAGTTAATACTATTAATAAGTATAATAATAGAAAAGTATGAGCATTTTATTATACCAACACCAGTGTGTTATGAACTTATTTACTTTTGGTTTAACCAACACAACGAATTTAAATATAGATTAGTGACCATTAATGAGCTTAATTATAATATTATAATTCTGGTACCGGGAATCAAATTTCCATGCAGCTGGTCACAATGTATTAATAATACTATGCACTAGTATAATAATATGAAAACTAGTTTTATTTATAGTCCATATCGATTCTTGTAAAATACGATTTGCAATACTGCGTTTACGTCGACAGTGTATTAAACTGCATATTATTATCATAAAAATAACGCTGCAGACTTAGTGTACAGTATTGCATGGATCGTGTACTAATCGAGTTTTCTGTGACTGTGTATTTTATTATTATTCGTATTCATTAATATATTATCGATATTATGTCGTACACAGGCAATCATTATCGGTGTGCGGAAAGGCGGCACGCGGGCGTTGTTGGAGATGTTGTTCTTGCACAAGTCTGTGCAAAAGGCCAACGGCGAGGTGCACTTTTTCGACCGGGACGAAAACTACGAACGCGGCCTGGACTGGTACAGGAAGCGGATGCCGTACTCATTCCCCAACCAAATCACCATCGAAAAGAGTCCCAGTTACTTCGTGACACCAGAGGTAAAAAAACGAAAAGATTATGAAAAATACTGAATGACGGAGGCTGCGGGTAAAATCAGGCTATTACGATGCGTATCGTTGCAACGATGGTTATCCGAGCAAGTCGTGATAATATTATGACGAAAGTTAAACAAACATCTGTAAGACGAAAGTTCTGTGATTATGAAATATAGTAGCACACAAATCGAAAAACGATAACTATTTGATTCTTTAAGTCCTAGTACACCCTTTTTGATTATCCACCAAAACCCATCGCTAAGTTTCATCAAGATAATAGAAGTTCTCGAGAATTTTATACCTGTTTTTTTTTTTATTTTTCTGTGTGTCAAAATAATCGGAAAAGCCCGTGGAAAATGGGTCTTAGAGGTTGTGCATGTGAATACATAATATTATTATTGTTGTATTTTCGGGCGGAACAATAAGTGGCGTGTTTGTGATGGGTATTGACTTACAGGAGAAGGAACGTAAAAAATAGGGAGACTGCTGCACGCAATCTCAGCGTACACCAGTTATGTGCAAGGGCCGATAATATATATACCTATCTACGCGTTACCCAATTTTTAATTAATTTTTGCGATAAAACCGCAATCCCGCTGATTCTTATTTTTCTTTTCTTTTTTGGATTTTCATCTTGATTGATTCATGACCCGTGCATTGTATAAATGCGCATTTATTCCTAAAATAAAAAAAAAAAATGTGTGCGCAAGAGAAAATAAAGGTATGTACATGCTTTAAATTAGATTTTTTTTACTATACGAATTGCTCAACTGGTTACTTATCGAATTCTCACTTGATACTTTTCAATACTGTATTATTGTCGTTTATATGTTTAGGTATATACATATATAATTTCAAAATCACATTATTCTATGACTTTCTTACCAAATAAATTCTGCTGTTTAAAAAAAACTGTGTGTAATTTTATTGCCATACATGGAAATGTATAAAATAAAAATTTAAAACAAACAAATATTTTACAAATAATAAATAAGTGTAATATGAATGACAGAAAATGTTATTTATATTTATTTTATTTTATTGTTCGTAAAAAAGGAACAAAAATAATGACACTAAATTTATCATTCATAAAGTTTAATTGATAAATATTTATTTAATACATTTGAAAGTCGTAGGTTGACTATATGCATATGATACTAATTAAGCGAATGTAATTATTAGAAAAATTGTATAGTAACAAAATATTTACTAGGTTAATTTCTTAAATAAGTCGTTATGTTTTACCATAATCGTTTTTACTTCATAACTAATAATATTACAAATAATATATGAGCATATTCTGTTGCGTAATACAAAATTCAAACAAAATCATCGGAAATGTATTTATATAATACTTCTTATGTATTAAAAATGACGATAAAAATACTCAAAAACTCATTAATAAAGAAAGTTATAATATTATAATATGTAATAGTTTTTTTTTTTAAATTATTCATTCTTTTTCGTTTCTTTTTTTTCATTGAAAAAAATCACTTATAATTTTTGAATTATTGACTATACTATTGTACACATCAGGCACTCATAAATAATATAAATTATATCATGACGGTTTTGTTTTATATTTCACCTATCATTTCTTGATAAATATGCATTTTTATTATTTTTTTTCAGTGATAACCCCTTGTTATATATTATCATTATTTTTCAATTTCATTCATATTCATATTGAATACCGATATTATTACATGAATTCAGTTGTACTAATAATTTTATTTCAATGTAGCATCTAGAGCAGTGTAGGTAGGTAATCAATAATTCGTTTAAAATATATATATACACATATATTTAAGACATTAATATTATTTTCGTTCACTTAAACGTTTACAATCTTTATAATATATTTTTTAAATAAACACACAATAAATAGTCGCACGACTATACAAGTATAACAATTTAATGTGTACAATATTTTTGAATAATTATATTCTTTGGATGCTAAGTTTTAAAATAAAAATAAATTTTTGATGTTTTGATCAAAGCGATATATTTTAAACTATGGTTTGAAAACTTCATTTGTAAATATTTTTTTTCAGAACTATCTGATGGTTATATAATTTTTTACGGTTAGATGGTTTTGTGAAACTGCTAAAATAATTTGAGAAATTAAAGCAAATCAGCTCATAAATTAATAAAATTGCTTATTTATGAAGAAAAGTTATAAAACATGAAACTTAATTTATAAAAATATACAATAAAAAAATGTATTTTGTAATTCATCCAATATGTTTTTTACATAAATTTACTAAAAACCCAACCCAAATTTATTATTTATGAATAAACAAGTTAATATTTCTTGATATATGTATTTACAACATCCCATTTGCTTGAAATATATTTTTTTTCGATTTTATTATGTAAACAAAACCCTAATCTATAGACGGCTATAGTAAATTAGAAAATGTGTAATCACGTGTAGGTATATAAAATCTTTATATTTTAGCAATTAATTGTGTATACAAAATTTTGTTTTACTTTGTTTGAAAACAATTCCATTGGTCTCATAGTTAATTAATTTTTTATTTTACTAAAAAAAATTGAAATAAAAACATTCAGCTCTTTAATACTATAAGTAAATTATAAATAAAACGATATATGTTTAAATTTTTAAATTTTTACACGCAGAATAAAGTATTATTATTTTTAAAAAGTTCTAGAATAATTACTACTCACTAGTTTGTACGATAAAAAAAAAAAAATTACCTTTAATGGAAAATATGATTTAAGTAAACATAATAGTTTACTCGTTTAAAATTCGTTTTTAGACACGCCACTTTATAAAATCTTTCAATATAAACTTTAATTGAATGTGTAAACCATAAGTCAGTGTGTTTACAATATAAACAAAAAATAAAATATTCGATTTATTGATAAATACATTTTTCATTTTTATAGCTTGGTGTCAATTTGAATATGGTTGTTACAACAAACACGTATGTAACTGATTACAAAAATATTGCTTCGGATAAACGTAACTAAACGACATTATTGTGCTAAATTTTTAATAAAAATTATTTTGACAAGCAACGTATGGGTGTATTCACATCACACACACAAAAAAAAATAAAAAATAAAATTTAAAAAATCCAAAATTTTCTTTGTCTTGCAACCAAGTTACTGACTCAAGGCTTGGGTCACGTTTTGGTTATATTGTGTTATATTAATTATTATTTATAATATATCCCGTCATACCGATAAATTTCTAATTTATATATAGTTATATGTAAATAATATAAAATATATAGTATAATCAAATTGCTTGTACAGGTCACATTAAGCACATAAAAAAAATAAATATTATATTGAGTGCTTTTTGTTCATGATTTATGGATTATATATCCGTGTATATATTTAATTTAAATTGATGGCATTTAAACTTACTCGTTAACATATAACTATCATGTATGGTTGACTCAGTTTTACCAACGTGAGTGGTTATCGTTAATTTACTTTTCATAATAAAATATAAAATAATATGTAGTATAATAGTTGATAGTTTTGTAAACTCTGAAATGGTAACACTGAAAAGCTTATAAACTGACCCGGTTCCATCTTCCTAGGTTTATTTACTACATTGCTTGAGTTGAATTTTAAATTATGAAACAAGAGTCGGAGCAAAAAGTTTTATGCAAGGTTTAAAAGGATTTTGAATTAAAAATAGAATTAAAACCAACTGTCAAAAACGTATAGGGAATTAGGGAGTATTACGATGGATTTTTTTTTTTTTTTTTTTGTACCCAAAAGGTATTGTATTATATAAATAATATATAAACATATTATGTATCAGCAAAGTAAACGCCAATTCGTGTAGTTTACTTTAAGTTATTTATAATGTTACGTCAAATGTATTGTTGTTATCAGGTAAACTACAGAAACATTAGTTATTTTTGTTGGACATAAAATTATAGTACTTATATCTTTTTGTTAGCGCGATAAGTGAAACATTTTAAAATAATTGATTTAATTAATTTTATAGCCCTAAGATATACAAGATTTAGTGTAGTAGTGCGAGGAAATTGTTATCAAGTATAAGACAAACAAGAAAGAAACGTGTTAATTCTTTAATTTGTTACAAAAGTCTTGTGTGGAAAAGTCGGCATGTTATAATTCTAGAATGTGTTTGCATAGAAGAACTGAAATTTTTAATTAGATACAGTGTACTATATACCACTACCCCACAACCACCACCGTTAACTATAAGAGATATACACGGAAAACTTAATTAAAAATAGATGTTTTCAAGTGTGTTGTCAATGGAAAGTGCTGAACAAAAGGTTTTGATTTATCAAAACCACTTTGAAGTCCTTTAATTTAGTTTTCTATTTATTTATTTTTTTTTTTTTTTTGAAATGTATGAAAATCTTACAAAAAGAAAACCATTTTGGAATTAACATAATGACATTTATTTTAACATACAATAATTAAATTATTTTTTATAAGTAGTTATCTAAAAATAAAAACTGTATTTTTATTTTTAAAATATTAAATGTTAAGTTTAAAAAATATTAACTCATAAAATTTATAAATATTATTTATTAATAAATTAATAGTTCTACTTTTTAAATTTTTTTTTTATCTAAACTGGTTTTCTATTAATTTTATCTAACTTACTAGTATTAATGTTTTTCTTGGTGATAACAAGTTAACATAATTTGTTCTTACTTGATAAGCAACTTCGAAAGTTCATATAATTTTTCGAAGTATATAATATTATAATGCAACTTAAATTTGGTAAAATATTTTATACCTTTTGAAATAAAAATTGAATTAACTTCAGTCTAATAATTAATTATAAATTATAATAAAAAATATAGACTTAACTATTTATATCTTGAAATTTTGAGCTTCGTAATAGAATTGTGGTATTGACATCCAATTACAAACTATAATTGATATTTGATAATTTTAAAAATATTACAAGTAAAAAAATTAAGTGTAATTTTAACTTAATTATAAATTTAATGTATTTACTTTGTCAGTTTTTG